TATGCATTGTTTAGAATATCGTCTATCTTCTCTAACCTTTCTTTCAAATCCTTCTTTGATATACCAGTAGCCTGCAAAACAAAATCAAAGGGTGCAGTGTCAACAAACATTAGGACTGCAGCAAAAAATAAAGCGTAAACATATAGAAAAAAGGGCAGAATTTCTGTCACCATTAGCAAGGGTTTGTGTGTAAAATAAGCATGGCATGGTATGCTTCAAGAGTGTATTGTGCCACAAATATGGCACTACCCAAACAATTACTAGAAAAAATCGAAGTTACCAAGCACAAGCTTGGAAAATTGCGTCTATAATTGGAGGCGAAGGAGTAGTAACTGACGCTGATTGCTTTTGCACATATTGATGATGATTGCATCACATTAACATAACTAGGAAAGGATCCTGTCTATAAAACTAATCGACTGCATGCAGTTGAATCGTCTTCTAAAGTTCAAATTTAGTTATATTTCTTGCAGCTTTGTTTAATTCACAAACAAGAAATACATCTATCTATGAACTCTTGAGAAATTATGCAAACATGATTTGAATAGCTGGATTTTCCAAAGGGAAAAGGAAAAGGGCCATTTCTTATCATGTGACCTATCAGATATGTAGCACCACAATGTTTCAGAACATGTGAGAAACCGAAACAGATAGACCAAAAGGACAAACCTTATTTTTTAGGGGGGGAGCCTTGGGCAGGAGTTTCTTCAGCCAGCATCTCTTATGCCATCTGATTTGAACTTGTCATCTTGGATCTTTTTCTCGAGACAATGATACTCAATGTCATCCAAGATGTCTTCGGCTTCATAGAAAGCATTCTTAAGATCGTTGAAGAGCTGCTTCACACGAGACCTGTTGGGGAACTCCTCAAATACCTCCATAGCCCTCTCGATCAGCAAAACTTTTGGACCAAGCTGTCGTAACTTCTCTGACGCGTGAAAGCTCAGGTAGTTGGCGCATTTCTTGAAAAGCTCAGAGACGATAGGCGCTGTTACCCATCCTATGGCTTTCATGCCTAGCATGGTCACTGGATCCGCCATTAGATGCTGATTTGCTGGAAGTAGGGCCTCACATCAAGAGTTGGAACAGGTTGTGGAAGGGAAGAGCCTTCTTGGAATCGCTATACTACTCAGTCGTGTGCATTGTACTAGAACAAATGGCCTCAGATTCAAGAACAAGGAAGCCTCCATTGACTCACCATCTATATAAAGAATTCACCCCCACTTGTCAAGTGGATCTAAAAGTATAATATCACATCTGGAGAGAACCTGTAATATACTAGTCAATTGATTCCTTGCAAGACTCTCTGTAAGATTGTGTGATCCTTCTGATTTGTTCATCCATCATAATATGACGAGTATATATAAAAGCAATCATGGGAATAATATATGACCTAAATGATGAAAAGTCAGAGCTCCAGCGATAAGGCTATTTCAACTAACAGTTGATGTCAGTTACACGAAGAACGGGTCAGTTCATGGATACAATGCATCCGCATCTAATAACAGGAAAAATACATGAACAAGTACCAGTTGGCATGCTTGTCTCACAGTCTCACACTACAGGCTGTCCTGATAATCTTGATAACCATCCGCATCTGCAACCGAGCACGGCTCAGTCATGACTCTGCAATAAACTGACAGCCTAATATGACACTGCCAGCCAAGATAAAAGCAAAAGAAAAATAGTTATTAGATCTTGACAGATCCCAGTCAAATTTCTCAAAGAGGAATCAGCCAGTTTATGCACAATTCGTTCCAGATAATGGAATAGGAAGAGAGCAGCTTGCCCAGCCAGTTTATACTTAACATATTCGTTGATTAAAATTACAAATCTACCACTCAAATGTGGAAACAACGGTAGTTTGTTCTACCCCGCCGGAGTAAGACTGGACGATGGAAAAGCATGAACTTCAATTCAAACAGGGAATCACCTTCCACCGCTAGACCGGAGTTTCGACGCCACAATACATTCCTCGTTTACCAAGCAGCATCAAAGAAGTCAACATCGCAAGCTTTGACCGACACCATATGAGAACGGAAGTTTGTGATCGCGGCCATGGGCTTGGGCCACAAAATTCTTATCCGACTTTCTATTCGTCACACACAAAATTCATTTTCTTTTTTGCCCTCCTTTGTCCATGACAAATAAAAAAAGGAAAATGAAACACCATTTCCAGCCACCAAAGTAGGTACCATTAAACGAGCTGTTTATTATGCAGAAGAGATGCTCAAAACATAATCTCTATCGGGTAGTTTTCCACCTGCTTCTTTTACTGTTTTTCACCTGCTACCATTTTCTATTCTCCCAGGCCTCCCAAAGTCTCATTCTGAAAAGAGAATGCCTTACAAATTTGAATCAGCATACTGCATACAGTAGGCAATTTGAAAAGCAGTGCACAAGTAATACAACCCATGCTGTAATGCAATTTCCACACCAACAAGTATTTTTTATTCTAAAATAAACTAAAATTACGACTCACTGGACGTCATCATCAGTCCAGCAGAAGTGCGAACACTTGTTTTATGAGATTATTATCATTTTTTACCATACCCATCAACAAATTATTCTCTTCATGGCCGACGAGGATTCAAGCATGAGTTGCTCCTTAATCCGGTGCCTGCTAGCTTCATCCACCTGGGATCTCATCGGGTCAATGGCATTGCACTCCTTGCATGGGTCCTCACTATGAAGCTCGATTCTCTTCAACCCCGCAGCATGTTCCATGACTAGCCTTATATAGTTTGTCACCTTGACCTCTTCCTCGAACCCAAATATCATGAGCAACTTCAAGTTGAGATGCTTATCTTTCGATGGCTCCCACACCACATTGGTCTTCTCGGCAGTATCATCAGGCTTTTTCTCACATGCATGTTTAGTTTGGGATAACTTCATGCATGGGCAAACAAAATACATAACACATGTTAATTAAACTTGCCTCACCCATGCAGGACAATGTAACAACAATTGCATTTAAAAATATCTTTGCCATTTAAAAAGTTGCAACACACTCAATACTACTTGTACTACTGCCACTGCAACAACAATAAAGCCTTGCACTCCCAAACAAGTTGGGGTAGGCTAGAGTTGAAACACATAAGATCTCGAAACCAAGTCATGGGCCCTGTCTAGCTAACTTCAACACACTCAATACTAATATTTTAAATCTAAGTTTCAAAATTATATCTTAAATCTAGAGCCCCCTGTAGGGTTTTTGGATGAATTTTAAATCCTAGGTAAAGTAAGACACAGAAATATGCTTCTGGGATTCCTATGAAATTACAGCTATAATCCTCCTATGTTGCTCACATGTTTATTTCTTTATTTCAACCAAGATACTTTGTAACAAATAATTTTAATGAAAAGGGATATGTGCATCTTTCCTCATTGCCAAAAAAGCAAGGAAAGAATTTTGGAGAACTCTAAAACGAGGTACAAATACAGCAGGATACTGTACGCACTACTTTTAACATTCGTGCTACATTAGATTTGGTGAGTAACTGAAAAATATATCAACTGCTTCCTGCTATATTGTTAATGCTGAATATTCGAGTAACATGCCATTCTAGAATGAGCCACATCCATACTTTGAATTTCTGCAGGGCAGGTGCAGCTTCTAGGATAAACAGGGTCCAGCTCAGGTCACACTCAGGGAAGATACCAAAAAGATGCACATTGGCCAGGTTTCTGAATATAGCAGTGAGCTGCTTCGGCTGCTCCGGCTGAATCTCTGTAACATGAAGGGCACAAGATACACAACTGAACTTGGCAAAGAAGAAGAGCAGATGATATGTAAATGCACATAATTAACATTACCATTCGGGGAAAAAAATGAGTTGCAGTTTCAACAGATTCCTGGAACTTCTTGGAAGACACTCGCTCAGCATGAGAGGTGGTTGCCACGCCTTTCCATAATAACCGAGGGTCACTCACCGAAGCTTGGGAACGTCGCCGAAGCGCACTGGGAGGTTCGCGTTGCGCCGAGAAGAGCACATCACTGTCCTGAGCTCGGGGACGGAGATGAGTTCGATCTGTTGACAACAAAAATGGATGAGGTTGAGCTTCCGAAGCCCTGAGCACGGGGTATCAATCTTGAGCGCCAACTGCTGATCAACCAGACTTCAGGAACTCAGGGTGAGGTGCTTGAGCTTATCGCAAGCGTTAATGAGTTCGGTGATGTCGGAATGTCCAAACGCAAGGTTCTTGAGTGTAAGCCTCGTGAGCCACTGGAAGGTGGTCGGGTAGGCACGGGAGAAGGACATGAACTGCTTCCCTAACTCAGCAAGCAGTGTGGCGAGCAGCGGGGCGGCGTTGCTCGCGGGCCGCGCGGATATGCAAAACTCAAGGCATTCGGTATCGCCGTATCTCACAAGGTCCTCGACGGTGCGGCCTATGGTGCTCAGATGAGGAGATGACATGTAGAAGGTGAGGATGAGGGTCTTGAGGGCATCACTTTCGCACTCGCAGTCTCGCACTCTCCTAGAGGAACGACATCGCACTCGTGCAGAGGAACCACAGACAGCAGCGTATGCGCAGCGCTCGTGAACGCGTCCATGACCTCGAGCGGCGTGGCGCCTTGGAAGTGGCAGACGCCGAGGTGCAGGCGCGAGAGCCGGTAGGGGAGGTGCTGCCACCGCATCGAGACTGCGCCGGCCCGGACCGCCTCGGGCAGGTCAAGGCGCTCGATGATTTCGAGGAGGAGTTCGTCGGGGAGCATGCTGATTCTGTCTCGGCCTATATTGAGCTTGCGCGGCGGCGACTCCATGGCAGAAATCCAGAGGCGGATTGGTTAGCTGGTTGAAACCCTAGAATCTTGAGATGCGGCGGCGCCCTGCTCCGAGGAAGCGGTTCCTCACCCTCCCTCCGGCGCTCCACACCTCCCGCGGGTGACCGTCGATCTGGACAGCTCGATGGATCCTGCTCCCGCCTCCTCCTCGATCACCCTCCGGTGTGCGGCTGCTAATCGCTGAGATTGCGTGGTTATATTCGATTGGTGCTGTCACTTTTCCCTAGGAGAATTTCTATTTTATTTATTCAGAAATGTTAACGCCCACACGTGTGGGCGTTCACCACCCCGACCACACGCAAGCATCACCGTTGGCAGGTGTGTGTGTGCACGAATCTTGGAACAAACCAGGTGGTTTTTTGTGCCACGTAGGATGAGGCGCGTGTGCGGTGTGCGAGTAGGTTCACCCGCACGTTGGTTGCCACCCCGCGGTCAGCGGTTGCCATCTGAGTCGTGCGGTGGAACTGCAATGCGCCCGCACGCCATGCTTCGACTGCGGTTGACGTCGCACGCCTCTGCCCCCTCTCACTCACGCTTCCATTTACTCACCCGCACCGCAGTTACCGGCAGAACCCACTCGCATTTCAAACCATCGAAGGAGAAGGCGAGGGGAGAAGGCGACGGCAGAGGCGGAAGAATCGACGGTGTTCGGGACCGTCGGTGGTGCTCGCCGGAGCGCCTGCGGGTTGAAGGTACTGCTCGCTGCAACCCTCGCAATCCCTTCCTGCATTTCCTTCCCTTCCCTCCCTGTTCGATTCCTCGATCGAGATTCGTAGAAATTCAGGCGATTCGTCGATGCGTCGGCGTTCCTGCCGGCGCCGAAGTCGTCTGCTAGCCGCTTTTGGTTGCACTGGTCAGTTTCGTCGCGGGCGCGGCGGCGGCATCATCGGCGTGGTTCTGCCTGTTCAGAGGCACGCACTAGTATTGCCTATGGATTGAGCAGGTGTCTCCCGGGGTTGTTTTTGATGTGCGTTGGTTCGATTTTGTGTTTGCAGTCAGTTAGTGGGAGAATTTTGAGGGTGAATTTGAAGTCGAGGTAGTTGCCATTGAACCCTAGATCTAGTTAGTTTGGTTTTGAAAATGCAGTATGAGGCGAACTTGATAGTTACATTAACTATCATGTTTGTGCGACCACTAACTCCTTGAACAAATTTGATAGTTGCCACAAACGTGTTTCCCCTTGCGGCAACAAATTACTAAAATGATTGTGTTAGTTGCCACATGTAAGCTTTCTCACATGGAAACTATTTTTCA